TGCACCTGTGCAGTGTTGAGCGTGTACGCGCCGCCCGCAACAGTCTTCTTGCAGGCCTTGCAGTGCCAGATGCCGGTCGCCACGCGCTTGATCGAGTCCTTGCCACAGAAGACGCACGTGTACGTCGCGTGCTGCGAGATCTCCATCTTTTTGACAGTCTTCCTCAGCGAGGCGCCATACCGCACACCGTACTTGCCGGTGATGCCAGCCTTCTTGGTCCTCTTGTTCACCATGGCTGGACTGCGCGCGGGGCGGGCGGGGGACGGGGCACAGGTCGGACGAGTGTCGACTCGGCGAGAGTGGCACCCCCAGCGCCCTCGCTCGCGGCATCCCGCGGGCTGACGCTCGCGACGGCAAGACACGCCGCGCGATCGAGAGGGAGCGAGCGGTGGAGGGTCGAGCGGAGACACGCGGCGAGGCGAGGGGGCCGCGCGCTGTTCGTCTGCGGCGCCCCCTTGGCCCCGGCGTGCGGCAAGAGGAGTGAGAGCTGTCTGTGGAGGCGGACCTGAGGCACGCGGCGCAGTGGTTTTTCTTTTCCCCTCGGATGAAGAAATCTTGCGAGGTGTTTGTGTCTGTGTCCCTCCCTTGGGTCAACATGACCTGGAGGCAAATGCTCGGAGTGGGAGTCAGAAATGTGGTCCTTGCGCGAGGGGAGCTCGATAGACTCGAGGGGCCAGGATACGCCGCGAGGAGGACGGAGTTGCGCCGAAAGGCGAAAGAAGCCGCGAGAACAAGGGACCGGCAGGCGGCGGCGTCGCAGGACGAGACAGAAGAGAACGACGCGACAGAGGAGGAAATGACAAGGGAGAGAACGACGAGAGTGGGACGACCGCGAGGTGGCATGAAGGCTGCAGCGAGAAGCGGCGAGAGACTGCGAACGAAGAGAGATAGGAAGAGGCAGACTCCCTAGGGTGGGCGACGGCTAGCGCATCACACACCTCTCCTTAAAATCCCTGTGTGGTGGCGGCGTGCCGTCCTCCCATCCCTCCCTTGGGTTCTCTGTTTTCTTTCTTTCTTTCTTTCTTTCCCTCCCTTGGGTTGTCCGTTTTCTTTCTTTCTTTCTTTTTCGCTCACGCCGGGGAAGTGACCAGCGAACTGCAGGTAGTAGGGAAGGCAGCTTCGATTGCCATACAGACATGGGTGCGAAACAACGACAAGACCAAGCAAGGCAAGGGCAGAGGAGCGGGAGAAGAACATAGGATGGATAAAGCGCCTGTTCACGGCATGGAGGGTGAGCCACGCCGAACGTACTGAACGTAGAGCCGAGCGGAAGGAAGCCGGGGATGACGACTCCGAGGAGGACGAAACACCAACCAGTGGAAATCCCGCCGTCAGCTGTCACCATAATACGCGGCTCATAAGTTTCTCCGAGACCTCGCGAGCGGCAGTTATTCACACCTCGGCAGTGTGGTTTGGGCAGGGGTGGTCAGTGTGGGTTTCACACCCGTGGAAGGTAGGGGATCGGGCAGGGCAGTTGTGCGGCAGTATGCGGGCGGGCAGGTAGTACAGTACGGCAGGGCAGGGCAGGGCAGTTGGGGTGATGGGGTCATAAT